TGTCCTTCAGGACAACATGGAAGATCGGAGCTTTAGTGCGTTTTATGAGGTTGCACATAATCTGCAATTGCAGATCGATGAACCTTGTGTGACGAGAACACGCGAGAAAGCGCACAGGTATGCAATGAAAAGTTCGAACTTGTTCATCCTCTCATTCCAAGTTAAAAGCATGTGAAATGAGGTGAAGCTCAGGTTTTAACTTGTCGAGCACACGTGTACGCGCAGCGATTTTCCTGAATTGGAGATGGGGCATACGCTCTATTTATTTGCAACTTATTGTTAAAGCTTGCACACTGCGCGCTGCAATTGACGACATCTTAGTTGTAAGTCGCCAATGAGAGCTTTTCTAGCCGAAAAAAAAAGACTGTGAATTTTCGCACTCATATATCATATCGATCAACCGAGCTTTCCCGTAAAATTTACAGATTTTATTTGAAGAAGTCGTAAGATAGCGCGCGTCTTCTGCAGTGAGCATTTTAAATTACAGTGACTTTGCAATACAACTATACAATACAACTCATTTTGCAAAGTGGCTTCAACTACGTTTAATCTATTTATTTCATAGGTTTAAATTACTCAATCTAATTTTCTGCCTTCTTGACTTTCGAAAGTGCATGAGAAAAATCACATTAGGCTTCTGAGTTTTGGAAAGCAGCTGGAAGAGAGTTCCTAGCTGCAGCCCATGATTATGCCCTGTCGATAATTCCACTGCTGCTAAGAGAAATTTATAATTCGGCAATATCTGCTCGGTTGCGCTCCCGCGCACAGATAATTGTCGAGTAGGCGGGACTGACGCTTTGCCCACAAGGAGGGGTGGGGCTGTCACAAGAGATTATTTTGATCTAGTGATTATGATGTCCTGCAAGAAAGCGTTGTCAAAATGATCGTGCTTCTTTCAATGGTTTTTCTATGCTCTACCTAACAAAAACTTCAGCTTGTTCGTTTACTGCACTGATTTTTCTTTAAAAAAGCAGATCCAACTCATTAAAACGCAGTCATTCATAAATAATTTTTTGAAATTTTTCAAGAGTAAGTAATAGCCGTGTTAAAAAGTTTAGATGGCCCCAACATTGTTTTGATGCGATGATGCATTTTTGCAATGTATGAGGGACTTATAGTACAGTTCGGCTAGTACGAAATGTGCTCAACGTATATGAATAGAAAAATGGCCGGAAATTTCAATGAGTTTCAAACAAACCCTTTTAATATACTCGAAATCAAATGACTCAAATGTACAGTTATTATTTGTGGAAGCATGCTAAAAAAATTTGATTCCGAAATGACATGGTCCTTAGCGAAGTGAAAAAAAGCGGTCGCTTTTGTACAAAAATTATAATGTTTGGTGTATACAAAGAACAACCCTTATCTTCTTATGAGCTTTACAGCGAGTAAAGTGTGCTCATTAGTTCAATGTTTAAGACTGTCATTTTCTAGCCCTCTTGAGTCCCAATATTACAAAGACGAATTGCATCCCGTAAATGCAAGCGGCTAAATAACTTTACACTTTTATGGATAATTAAGGCACGACGATGTACAAACAAAGGAAAAGGAAACTTGTGCTGTGATCATAGTGTCTCACAGCTGTTCAAAAATGTGATATTAGCTCGCTACTTTATTCCAGTTTGCTTATTTTTGTGAGCAAAATTGACTAGTTTTTAGTTTATATATCTAGATGATTATTTCCTAGTTTCGACTAGGGAATAATCATCTAGATATATTAGATTGGTCCATAAGCCTTGAAGCTTCTTCAAAAATTGTAACCTTGTAGATCTAGAGAATTCGTTCGATATAACCTAGCTTAGAAAGAAAAAATCGTGCGCTTTCTAATAGTGCTCGAAACAAAATTTTATTCGACATAATACGGTGATACAAGCTGATTAATAGAAGCTGGAATCGTAGCCTTTTCGAATTTTGATGAGAATCAAGAATTCAATTCAATTTGCTTGTGGCTTAACGATCTACTTTTTTAGTATGGAAAATATTCGTTGTTATCAGAGCGGCTTTTAGAACCATATCATGAGCCTACTTTGACTGAAATGCATAACAAAAAGTTGAAAAAAACGCGCGGCACTGTTAGGCCCCGGGCAGACTTCCGCGATTTGATCGTCGCGACTGAATCGCGACGAGACAACTGTTACCATCATTCCATGCCGATCAACTTGCATTCGGTTGTGATACTTTTCCAACCCGAAATTTTTGAAAATGAAATGAAAATGAATGGAAATCTTGGCGATTAGATCGCGACGATTAAGTCGCGTGAAGTCTGTCCGGGGCCTTAAGGGTATAATTTGAAATCAAGTACATTTTGAACAGGTTATAACCTAATTAAAAGAGCATTTTATTATTAGAACGCCTCGAAGCGTAGTGGAAAAGAACTACCTCCGCGATGGTACCACAGTAAATGAGCTTCCATCTGTACAGTGAAGAAGTGACTAATATCTATCTGCATGTGTAAGTATTTTGAGGCAACCTCGTTAGAAGGAACATCTGGAAAAGTTCGCAGCAGGCCAGCTGCTAAAAAGCGGCTACACATATGCTAAACATGTGCGAAAATGCGCTAAATTCGTTGTACTTTTGCAAAATGCAAAGTTGTTTGGGGTTTCAAGCAAGTTTACACAGTAGGGGATCTTTTTTTGAACTTTAGAGAACTTATATTTGCTAATAGGTAATGGCTATGGCTATCCAGTAAAGGCAGAAAAGAAAGATTTGATTTTGAGATATTTCGGACAACGGTAGAGCTCCGAGCAAGCGAAATAATTCTTAGAAAAATAGCTGAGTTGCATTGACTTTCTTATATGAAGAAGATACGGCAAAATGTCGATTGATAAGAGCCTAATAGGAGCGAGTAGCATAAGACCATGGCAACCGGTCCCTAATGAATGCTCCAGCTGAGTTTGGGGCTTCAGACTGGTCAGCTTCCTAATGTGACAAGGTCTAAGCATCGAAACTGCGGTTGTTGATGGAGTCAGTTCACATCTTAACTGCCTTTTATAGAACAGCTTTGCTATAAGTGTATTGGGATTGGAGAAAAAGCATAGGATTTGATTTGTTTGCTGAAAATTTTCGCGCTCTAAAACTATTTCGATGGTTTCTCAGTGGTGCAAAATAAATCAGCAATTTTGACTTTCTGAAATGTGCCATTCTCTGGTGTTTTCACCAAACTGAGTCCCATTACCTCAAGAAAACGCAGAAAACAAAACTAGGACTCAAGAAATTGACAAGCATGAATTTTCAAGGCAAACTAAGATAGATCGAAACGTACAACCTACAGAATATGTTTGGGCTACTGAAAAATGTTACTTATCTTAGTTTGCCTTGAAAATTCGGTCCGATAAGCGTGAAAAGATCTGCTCCAAACTACACTACGTCCCAAATATGTTGAAAAACTTTGACCTCAAACTTTGTCCTCATATTGAATGTTTATCAAGAAAGATTCGCATCATTAGAGTTTTCCCTGTTTTTGAATGTCACATAACTTTCAATAAAAATTTATTGATTCTAAAATGGCCGATTTATAATTAGGTGTACGATGCAAAAATGAGATATATAGTACAAACTCCAAACTCACACGACTAATCTGGACTATTTTGTACAGCCATAATTGAACCGAAAGCATGCTTGGAGTCTCACAATTCAAATGCTGAGTCAGAATTTTTCAATGGTAAAAACTTGCAACGATGTTATTAATGATCCAGAAGACAACTGGCAGTATTCACAAAGACTACACATATGTAAATTTAGAAAAGCGGTCACTTCGAGTGAAGGGAGCATTTTTTCAAAGAAGAGATTATAAGCTGCAGAAAGATATACGATAATATTAGGTTGATGCAAAAATAATGAGCATTTTTCAAATTTTCACTCAACTTGCTGTAACTTTCTATACAATCTACATTTTGAAATACGGTAAAGACCATCGGATGCAGCGAACCTTCCGCAATACAATGCACATTAAAATGTACTCATATCTCACATGGGCGGAAAAATATGAGCTGTAAAACAAAACAAGTTTTTTTCTGGAGTCTCGTGTTTGACAAAATATAACTCCCTTCACAGTTTCTTAGTATAATTTATAAGTAGCCTATCTTGTAGCCGCAAGTCAGTAGTACAAACAAACATGAAAAAAGCGTGGAGAAATGAGACTGGCGAAAAGGAAAAAATCAAAATCTGAATATATCAACTTTTTAAGCATTTTTTCAGTAGGCCTCAAAATCCCGAATCACAGAATTTTCTGATTTTCTGCCTGCTGAACGGCTGAATGCCTTTGCTAAAGCTGTCAACAGAATGCTCTACCCTCACGCTTACAGAAATGAGCAAAATTTAGGGATTGCATTCTACAAAAGAGAGGTGTGGGCTATAGATTGATCGCAACCATTGCCCATGTAAAGGCGCCGATAGCTTAGCTTAGATAACTTCAAAAAATATGGTTAAATATGCATAATATAGACGATTTCTATTACATATAGTGGCTAAATTTTTGAATCGCCTTAATTCGGGCTTGAATTCTGGCCAGAGAAGTGAATGCAACAAAAATCTGGTTTTGAGTGCGATCATTTGAAGCCCTATAAATTATTAAAAAATTTGGATAAATGTCCGTTTTAAGCAGCTTTGTATAGAGCATGAAAAGAGCTTGTCAATAGTATGTTGAATCTGTATTAAAGGAAAAAGTCTGATTGAGAAATGCCTAGAAAAAAGTCCTAGAAAAACGCTAATTAATTTTGCATCAACCTAATATGCATGCCCTTAAATTTTTTTTAATCAAGTTACAAAACAAATTATATCAAATTGATGTAGGACAAATAATAATTAGAGGTAAAGTTTGTAATTTATCAAAACTTTATCCCTGAACATGTTTGCCCACGCACTACCTGGAAAATTTTTTTTGCCTCCCCCCCCCCCCAGACGGAAACCCTGGGACCGCCACTGTGTTACAATGATGCGCAAGTCTTGTGGATCTCAGACTGAATTTGATGATCGCCGCAGGTCGCCATTGTATAACATTCTTAATGGACTCGCGACTTGCGGCAAAGTACATGCTTCAGCGCTAGTATCACCAGCAATTTCCCTCGGAAAAACTTTGGATTAGCGGACTTAAAAGCCTAGAAACACGTTTTGAACTAGTCGTAGCAATGGGCACACGTCCCATGGTCTTCTTGTTTTTCCCATGACTGTAATTCGGCATAATGATAGACGTTGGCGTGGTGGTGAATTAGGTAGACTGAAGGACGAGTGTATGAGCACGAGCACGAACACTTCACATGCGGCAATTGGCCTTTCTAACTCGTGTTTTTATCCTGCCTCTACCTTTTACTCAGCATTCGCAAGGACGAGTTGAGAGCGGGAAGATTCAAAGAGCGATTTGGAAACTTTCGAATAAAGGGCTTGAGCTTGCGCAAGAGTTTGCGGTCATAATGGAATGTGTCGGTAAACTTAAGTAGTGATACTCTTTTGATCATTCTTCAATCGAGTGAGCGCTAACCTAGTGGTATATAAAACCGAACAAAAATAACCCTCCCTTGCTAGGCAACTCTCAGCTTCGACGCATATCATTGTATTTTCCTTTCAATTCAACTCCACACTGACACGTTAGCGGCTTATTAATGACTAGCTGACTTACCAGCCTCCGCTCGGCCCTGTCTAAAGACTATGACAATGATCCCATCCCTATCCCTGTACAGCCTTTCCCTGTGCCCACTTCACATGCCATTTCCCTATTCGCGCTGTGTTAGCAATCAGGATGCTCACTTACCCCCCTATGCCAACTCCCAGCCCCGGAGCTCGAACTTTGCAAAAAATCGATAAAAATCGATAACAGTAATGCATAATTACAAAAACTAATATTGTATTCGTAATGCGCATGGTCACTTATCCTCCTATGCCAACTCCCAGCCCCGGAGCTCGAACTTTGCAAAAAATCGATAAAAATCGATAAAATCGATATTGATCGATAACGATCGCAGAGAGGATTGCGTTGGATTTGACGCCGTCAAAGGACTCCTCATGGTCGAAAAGGCCAGGAAAAGAGGCAGCCGGTACTCCCGGCAGAGTCGTGGTGGTACCTCACCAGTGGGAACCAAGGGCAACGGCACCGGTGTTAACACATTGACGACAAGGCCTATTTTTCGATTGCTGCCATTTCGGACAGGAGCCTTTTTTGCTCTGCCAAACTTACGACCCACCCGTGAGTCGTATTGTCCGAAATGGTAGTCTTTTTGGAAGGAATTTAGAACATGTCTCCGAAAGTTCCCCCACAAGGGATATCGAACGCGCTGATTACCAAAATATGATTTATTTCATTTTTTGGCGTTATACGGTAAGGTTACGGTAGTCATTCTGTACGGGCTCAACATCATGGATTTTCATGAAAATTTGTGTATTGGGGTTATTTCACGTGCTGATCACGATTATAGTGTCCACTTTTTTCACAACATTCTCATGGTGAGACTACGGTAGCAACACGGTAGAATTTTCGTAGAAATCAAGAAACTGATGTTAGAAGGTGGTATCAAAACTTGAGACTATCATTTTCGTAATCAGCATGCTACAAAACCTACTATATATGCAAAGTTCGGGCCTCCTAGGATGAAAAATGCAAAAAATCAATAAAGTCAATAAAATCGACAATTTTTTGGTGGGTTAACGTCAGCCTCTTGCCCGCCCCGTACTACTCTTACATGTAAACTTGATTCTCCAGAAACAGCATTATTTTGCGAAGAATTTGATTTAAAGCTTGTGTCTTATATATATTTACCGTACACCAACCGTAACATTACATTACAGTATCCCGAGCCCGGATCACTCCGGCTAGAGCTTCACCTAAGTGCCCCCAATCATGTGCCAGAACCCCGAAGAATTCCGTCGTAAACTGGCAAAGATAGCGCTTCATGAATCTTACACCGGTGGGTCGTATTGTCCGAAATGGCAGGACACGTACGACCCACCGGTGGGTAGGGCCTTATTGTCGTCATTGTGTTAATGAGTAAAGAGGCTGAGCGAAAATCCTTCGCAACTGATTACCTTTTACTGGGAACCAGCGGTAAGTGGTATGCGCTGAGGTCCTTTTCTGAATCTTCGTCTTTCTTCGTTCTAGTGCTTAAAGCAACTTCGTTTGCCACTTCTTCTAGTTCTCCTACAAAGCCATTCTAGAACTGGCGCAGCTATCAGTCGGTCGTGTAAGTTGCACTCGGCATCCGCCTCACGGCTCTTTTTCTTTCAAGCATTTGATCTTGGGAAAGCATTTCAAGTTATTCCCAGAAATAGTTGAAAAATAACCTCCGCTCATGCACATTTCATCTTGACCAAAGATCGGAAATGTCTTTCGAGACAGATTCGAAAGTAAGTCAAATTTACATGAAGAGGAACATGTCTTTTTAGACGAGCTCGTTCTATTTTCCACTTTCTAGTTCTTTCCTGCTACTTGCCTCAAAATCATATCATCTAAAAGAAAATGTTCAAAGGAATTTATGCATTATGGTTCCGGCATTCATCACTATACTGCATACCTTCAATACATAGAGCCATGTACTCGTCACGATAGCACACAACCTTCACCTGGAGAGAAGTACAGAAGTCATCCGGGGCGAAGCCCATACTATGACATAATTAATGACATAACCATATAGGGATGATTGTGAATGAGGCAAATATAGTAGTGACATCCAAAGAAGCTCAAAAAACCGAGGGACTGCGTTTTACGGCCTTATTCAAAATTTCAATTAGAAACTAGGACGAAATTTCTCAATTAACCCTTCTGTAGACTGCGATTGAGCGTTAAAAGTTCATGGAAGCCGCTGGAGTTCAATAAAAACGAGAAACTGCGCTCAAATCTTGCGCAGAGTCGCCACATAAATGCTGGTCTATCTCGTTATGGAGTGATTCTCGAGACCCGCGACATTGTCAGTGCTCCTGGCCGTCTCATGAGGACCACAACGGTATATAATGTTATAAGGTTTCATTATGAGCCCGCAGAGATCAATGACCAGAGCCAAATGCCCCGCCGGCTCTGGTCTGTCTCCGCTGCTCGTCTGCGTCTCCGCGCGTTGCGCGCTACCTCGCCACCTCAAATGCAGAACGCGTGTAGAAAAGAGTTTTCTTTTTCTTCGCCTAGACTAGGACTTGTGCTTTACTTGCTCGTTGCCACGCGGGACTATAAGCTGTGGTTGGAAACGGGCTCACAAATAGGTTTATTGTTCAATTCTTTACATACAGCCTTCTTTCTTCCTGCTCACACTCCGAAGTTCTTCCTTCTTCGAAAGACTTGAGCTTGAACTTGATCTTGAGCTTGAGCTTGAGCTTGAGGTCCTTGAGGAACTTGAGGAAGCATGATCTTACGGCAGTGTGAGCTCTATTTATACAAATGAACATCAGATAAAAGTTGAATCTCAAAATATATTTCAAGCGAAAAGAAACATAGATGATATGATAAACGTTACAAAAGCAAAACAACGCATACTTGAGAAATGTACGATTTCAAAGAACAAAATTAATTCAAATACATGAACAAATACTTGATACATAGGTTGAACAATCGACAATCTATCTAAATTATATACATTGAGTATGGATCACTTGGTCGTCGTTGACGACACTCCCGGGGTGGCTAATGTTTCGTCCTGCGGCCATCCTTCAGAGCTCTTCTGGCATCAAGGATTCTTTGCTTCGCTCGTGCCTTCATGTCTGGTACGTTACAAAGGGCTCGATGGTGTGTGCTGCCGCGTGGGATGAGATCTTCGAAAATAGATCCCTTTAGACGCTTGCAGTACCAGCATTCTCTTCTGGCGTAGAGGCACTCTTTTTGTGGTGGACAGTTCTCTAAGCAGTAGCGGCAAAGTTCCTTCCGTCGAATAATCTCCCATCTTTCGTCCCCCTCCACATATTTGGGGCAGGAGTCAGAGAAATGCTGACTTGTTGCATCACAGAAGGCGCACTTGATTCCTTTGACGCCATAGTTTACTTGTCCGATTTTCCGATGAGGGAAATCCTGCAACACTCTCTCCATTTCGATTATGTCTCTTTCAAGTCTGTCCTCCCAGGCCCTCGAGGTCTCTGGCCTGTCGGTCCTTTGGGCCTTAGCAGCAGGTTCCTGCGATATCCTGTGACGTTCTTTCTCTCGCGGTGCATCACTTGACAGCTTTTCTCCTGATCTGTCGATCCTTTGGTATTTAGCCGTGTGTTCCTGAGACTGACTGTGAAGTTCTTTCTCTCGCTGCCTTTCATCACTTGACAGCTTTTCCTCGGATTTCTCGGTCCTTTGGTATTTAGCCGTAGGTACTTGAGACGGGCTGTGACTTTCCCTTGATCTGTTCGCTTGCTCCAACTGTTGTTCGACTTGCTCCTTTTCCGCGCGAAGCTTTTCCATGTCTTTTTTCTGTCGCATTATCTCGCCTTCCAATCGATCAATCGCCTCTTGATGTTGACGCTGCTTCAGCGTCAGCTCCTCTGCGCGAGATTTTTCCGATCTCAGCTCAAGCCTCAATTCAGATAATCTTTTCTTCTTTCTTTCATTTTTGTCCAGAAGGGCGCTGACGTTATTTATCAGAGGAGCTGTGGCTGCTCGTTTGAGCTCAAGTTCATCCTGCAGCTTCGATACTTGAATTTTCAATTTTTCAATTGTAGAAATTTCTTGTTTTTGCCGGCTTCCTTCGTTTTCTACATGGTAATCTCTTTGTCTTTCGCTGCTATCCTCCTGGTCCATCAACTTTTCGATCGTAGAAAATGTTGTTTCCATCATATTTTCTTCTGATTTGTCATCTTCATAGTCATCATCCTTTGTTTTATCGTCATCGGCTTGATCGATTATTGCTATTTCCTCGGTTGGAGCCGTCCAATCCATTGCGTCATCATTTTGCTCTGGTCCTTTTTCTTTTCCTTGTTCCTTGTTCTCAGCTCGACTGCCGTCGGTTGTTTCTTCAACTTCAGCACTCCAGTCCATTTGCCTATCTTCGTATTGTTCTTGGATCTTCTCCTTTAGTGCTCTGTTTTCTCTTTCGAGTCTCTCCACTTGATCTGCCCAGTCGAGCTCTATTTCCTGGATGCGTTCCTTCAGTTGTTTACATTGAACTGCAAGCTTTGCTTCCTCGCTCTCATTCACTTGCCTCTCGACTTTGTTTAGATGATCTTCCATCATGCTTATGCTCGTTTTCGTGAAGCTCATTAGGCTTTGAACCATTTTAAGCACTGATTCTGCATTGACATCGTACTCTTGTTTCTTTCCTTTTTCCAGCCACTGGAATCGCCGCCCTCTCGGTATGAGATTAGCCTGTACTTGTCGGTCATAGATCCTATCCGTGAGGATGTACCATGTCCCGAGTCGTAGTATCTTTTCCTTGGTCTGCGTCGCGCTTCGTAGGCATCTGTTGGTCACCATAAGTTGTTCGTTTGTGGATGATTGCAAAAAATTTGCTTCGCCCATCAATGACGTCCATTGTGTTCTCTGCGTCGTTGCTACTTTCTTTTGATTGTGTAGCGATTTCAGGATGGCTTGGAGCTGGGGTTCCAGGAATTCCGCTTGTGGGCTTGCTATTCTCAGGATCGTCTTTAAGAATGTTGTTTCTCCGTCGAGTTCAGCGGCGCTGAGTCTATAACCAAGTCGTGTCAGTCAAGAGAAGGCTAGTCGATTGCAAAACTTCTTTCCTTTATTTTTTTTTCATGTTTTTTTTCTCTTTTTTTTTCTTCTTTTTTTTTCGTTTCCAGTTCTCAGAGTTTTAGTTTTGTCGCATTTTTTCTTCTGGACTTTGTCATAAGACTGCGCATGATAGCAAAGCATAACCTCCACGCTAGTTTGTAGAATGTTCGTATCGGTTTGGTCATCAGCTTTGCTAGAATGACGACGCATCTGAGTCCGCAAGTCGAAATTAGCGCATAGGTAATTCCTAACATAGCGATGAGTGTGATTCCTGCTATGAATACCGTTTTATACCATTGGCTGAATACGTCAAATAGATGATAGAAGTCGGGCCACTGGATTTCCGCTGGAGCGCTTTTGCTGTTGCTCGTAAGCCACTTGTACAGCATTGTTTCGAAAGTTGCTGTATATTTGAGGATTCCTCCGACTTCAAACGTGGTAATCACCTCTCCGCATGAGACCGAACACTTCATGCGGACCATCGCTTGAGTAGGACTAATTCTCATGACTGACTCAATTCCCTGTTTGCCGCACGGAGCCGTGAAACTTGTTCCTTCACATATGATCTCTGCTTTGCTTGACCTAGAGGCGAAACACTTGATTTTTGCGTAGGCTCCCTTTTCGCAATCCTAATTGTGTGTTCTCCACCGTACATATGTCGTTGTCTACGACGAGGTTAGTGCGTAGATCTTCTTGAAGGGTTACGATTATTTCTGTCGAAAGCATATTCTGAACGATTGCCTTGACGCCATGGATTGATTCCTCAAATGTTATTGATGGTAAAATTACGGGCATTCGTCGTTGCAAATCCTCGAACTGCTTCAGTATCGGCACATTCAGGCAATTGCAATTGGCCTTCGTTTCGGCGGGATTACACGTACACTGCTCAAATATTTCACAGCGTAGTGTTCTTGCCGCTTTACTTGTGGGACAGCGTAGAGCGGGCTTTAATTGATTATCCCAGAGAGCTGTGTTATTGCCATTCGATATGAATGAAGACTGGAGCAGAGGTATTGGAGCCATACTCACAGAGCTGAGTGTGAGAGAAAAGCTTTCCCATTGGACTGGTACGTTAGGGGGCATTAGAGCTGTGAACTCGTTTGTTTTCCCACTTTTGGCGTCGAAATGGGTGAAATCAATGGCCACTGTCTGTGCCCATCGATTACAGTGAAAGACCTCGAACACTGTCGAAGAGACAGGTTTCAGGTAAATCCGATAGAAGAGGCATCCGGAGCTCCAGTAAAAACAGTCACACCCCGGGCCGCCACAGGATTCAACGCAGTACGTGTTTCCTGGATACCCGTTCCCCACAGCGAGTTCGGGTATGAGACTGGTACTGTTTATTTGGGCGCATTTGCTTCCGACACACGACCCTACATGCGGACAACGCTTACTGTCTATGATCTCATAACTTGTGTCGCGAGTGAAATAGTCCGTGACCTTTTCGCAAGTGAGAAGTAAGTTCTTCCAGGAGGCCCGTATCTGGTGGATTGTTGTTTCATTGTGCATTAACTTGAAACAGGCTTCCCTTTTGAATGGGTTCAACTTGAGCACTTCAGAAACTTGCACTTTACAGATTTGGCCTTTGTCATCATTTGTGCACAAGGTGGATGTGTGGCTGAATATGTTCACCATCTGGCATCCGTGCACAACCCCTACGTGCATACTCATCATCGTAAAAATGGCCAACAAACTGGTCAGTTCGATCGATCTTCTCCTTCTTCTTCTATCATGACTTGGTTGGTCTGGTGTCCTTCTGCAGCACTTGATGAGATGACGTAATAGTAGGTAGATGCTGTATATCAGCAGTCGTACAGGTTTGCCTATTACTAGAGGAACGTACAGTAGAGCGTAGCAACCCGTTGCTATCAAGTATAGAAGCACTGTAAGCGCTATTATCGCTCCAACCGGCCAGCATTCTGGATTGAAGATGAGTGAGGTACAGAAGAGACAATCCACCGATTCGCAAAATGGTGCTGATGGGCACATTGCTTCCATTATGTCTATAGCGTTATTGATGCTGAGTTTCCATTGCACCTTGTGCTCATGCAGTACTATACTAGGTGGGAACCTTACTGTTTCGTTGTAGTGTGGCGAGTCAAATGTCTTACAAAAGTCCTCAGCGCATACTTGATAAGGCACTTGTACTTCAGAAACGAGTTGTACTCCACCCGGGATGCATTTTATGAATCTGGTGATTTTCGCTACTTGGTCTCGTACTTTCTGTCCCCTCACTCCATCATTCGTGATTAGTAGTCCCAACATGGTGACAAGTAGTATTGATGTGTTCAAGATGTTCTCGGCATAGTTTTTCTTACGATTTGGACGAAGGTTGTACGGATGCGTGGTTGTTTCCTTCGTAGTAGGTGTGATTTCACTACCACCCGCATCTGCTTCCTTTGTGTTTTCAGACTGGTACTCTTCTAGTTCCAGTGGTACGAGAAGGTTGACTGGCCTGCGAATTTTATTGCGTGAGGGTAGCATGACACCTGCCTCCCTTATGACCCCACACTGGTTTTTGACGAGCTCGATGATCCGTCCGAGCTTCCAAGTTTGACGTGGTTGCACTGGGTCTGCAATCAGCACCAAATCTCCATTTTGTGGTTCGTATGAGGATCCCCGTTTCTGTCCCACGTTTCTCTGATGCTTTTCCCGTAATGACGTTAGGTAATGAGTCTGCCATACTTGCCAAAATTTTTCTACAGCTTTGCAGGAGGATTGTAAGGCTTCTATTGTTTGCCTTTTTGTTCGTAGCAGGACCAGCTCTTCACTTGCTACATAACTTGGATCCTCTTCTTCTTCTCTGGAGAGATCCACAGGGTATTTCATCTGTATTTCATTTTGTAAAAAGTCTATCGGCCGTAGGGCGACTTCATTTAGGCTATCTGTTTCCATATACAAAAGTGGTCTTGTGTTGAGTAAGGCTTCTATCTCTACGATCACCGTGGTCAGTTCGTCAATTGCCAGTGTTTGATTTCCTAGTGTTTTGTACAGCGAAAGTTTTACTGACTTGATCAAGCGTTCGTAAAAGCCCCCTTGCCATGGGGCATACGGTGTTATATGTTTCCAAACAATCTCTCTATCGCTGAGCTCCTTCATTATACTTGGATCGGTTTTAGCTGCTTCGTAGCTTTCCCTGAGTATCGTTTCCCCCAGAAGAAAGGTCGGCGCATTGTCTGACGTTATTGTCCGAGGTACTCCTCGGCGTCCGAAAAATCGCCGAAGCAGTAGTAAGAACGCTTTGGTTGAGAGATCTTGAGCTATGTCCAAGTGAATCAGTCTAGTTACCATACAGGTAATTATGCATCCGTAGCATTTTCCCTTGCTTCCTTCAGAAAGAACAATACTGAGTGGACCGAAGTAGTCCAGTCCGACATGTTCGAAAGGCTTTGCCCGTTGTACTCGTTCTTTGGGAAGGTCACTTTGCTCCGGATACTTGAATGGCAAGTTGTTGAATTTCTGACAAGGAACACATCGACGGATGATTCGAGTTACTTGAGCTCGGAGTTTTGGTATCCAATAGTCTTGTCTTACGAGAGACATTGTGTGGTTAATGCTTGCGTGGCCTTTGTTATGGCTTTCTCTTATTATGGTTTCGGCTAACCATGTGTTTTGCAGGATGATCAGTGGCTGTTTTGCACTTCGGCTCATCTTGCTCCTATCTAGTCTTCCATAACAGCGAAGGAGGCCGTCTTCGTCTTTCTTGATGTTCAAATGACGCATTGATCGCCTCATTTCTTGAGTGATCAGTATCTGGTGCTGTCTGATTACCGCTTTAGCGGCTACAGCAATTTCTGCGCCATTTAATTCAATCCCGTCATACAATATGTCCGGTTTCAGCCAACTTGATAAGACTATTGGAAGAGTTCTTCTTTTGTTTACCCTTGTTACCAAAATTCTAACATATCGTAGCACATATGCTTCAATGCGCTTTACTGCTGCTAACGGATGCTTCTTCAGCTGGTCCAGAGGGATTGGAGTCGTTGCTTGTTGGACCTGTACACTCGCTGCTAATGTTACTTCATCCTCATCTTCACCCGATGTTTTCTGTTGGAATAGAGCAGTGTCTTTCCATTCCTTCGGATTTTCGCACAGAAATTGAGGCCCGGTCCACCAAAAATGGTTCAACAGTTCTGTTTTGGATAGACCTCGAGTGGCACAGTCTACCGGATTTTCAGATGAGGATACATGAGCAAACCATACTTGACACCCCATTTCCTCTATGTTTTTCACGATTTTCTCAATTTCCGTAAGTCTGCTGGTTATCATTCTTCCTACTCCTTTCTGCGGTTTCGATTTGATCCATTGGAGGGCGATTTCAGAGTCTGACAGCACTACTGTTTGCTCGATTTTGACGACGGATTGTAGTTGTGTGATCGCTGCATTTGCAATTCGCATGGCCAGAGTAACTGCATTGAGTTCCATCTTCGGCATCGTAACCGTGGACTTGAGAGACGGTAACTTGCCTTTTGCAAAAAGCAAGTTTGCTTGATCTTTAGAGCGCAAGTAGACACATGCAGCGATTGCTTCTGAGCTTGCATCAGCGAAAGCAATTATGTCATGCTCTGTCTCTTTTGAGCATAAACATCGAGGAATTGATTTTTCAAATCCGTCGGCTTCTTTGATGATTTGTTCCCAGTCTTGCGCAAGTTTTTCGGGCAAAATAACATCCCAGTCAAAATTTTGCTGCCATAGGGAGCGAAGAAAGACCTTGGCTCTATGGAGCAAGGGTGTCATATAACCCATTGGGTCATAGACGGAGGCTATGGTACTTGCAACACTACGTTTTGTAGTGTTAGTGCTGTTTTTCATTTGACATCTGATCTCTAGTGCGTCTTCAATTGAATTCCATTTTATCCCTAGCACTTTTGGTGATAGTTCCAAGGACTTGTCTTCGAGGGCTATTACTTGCATTGTTTCCTTATTGTTAGAAACGAATTCCCGGAGGTTCATGTTAAGATCTTGGAACATCCTTTTAGTGGTGCGGTACAACTCGACCGCCTCTTCCTTCTGATCTGTGGATAGAATGAGATTGTCCACGTACAAGTTTTCTTTCATTTCCTTCACTAGCTTGCTGTTTTTGTATTGATCGAGATGGTAATGTGTCGTAGCTGCCAAGAGGAAAGGAGATGGCATAAGTCCAAAAGTGACTCGAGTGAACCGCAGAATTCGGATATTACTTGGGCTAGGTGCTTGTTTGTGGTTCCTCAACCAAAGGCACCGAGTGGCATCACGATCTTCTTCGTGAAGTCGCACTTGAAGAAATGCCTTTTCCACATCCGATATCAATGCGATGTGTCCTACTCGGAATCTCAGGAGAATTCCGTATAGGAGCGGTAAAATTACCGGCCCTCGATGTAGGACATCATTCAGTGAAGGAGATCCCCTGTAATGGGCTGATGCATCGTAAACGATGCGTAGCTTCGTCGTTGACTTGTGTGGTGTTATCACCGCCTGGTGCGGAATATAATGAATTCGTGTACCAGGTAGTGATTTTTCATTTACCTCCTCCAATATATTCAGACGAAGCTGCTCTTGGAAAACTTCATTATATTGGTCCAGTAGTTTTTCGTCTTTCTGCAGCGAATTCCATAAACTTGCCAGCCTTCTATGTGCGATGGCCTTGTTATCTGGTAACTCTATTTGAAGGTCTTTCCATGGCAATCGCACATAGTAACCGTCTTGCCGCTTTTCCACTGTCCTTTTGAAGTTCTCCCACACTTGCTGGTCAACGATCGCCTGTTGTTCTTTTTCCGCCCTTCCAAATTCTTCTGTTCCGGCAGCGTCCATTTTCCAGAAACTTTCCCAAAGTTCTTGTTCACTTTCTTTCTCCTCTGTTACTGCCTCTATTGTGTTGACTTGTGCTTGTAGACTCCAGTAGCCATTCCACCTTTCTTCTTCTTGCTCCAGTCTTTCACCTATCGTTGGTGTCCTTTTTGCTTGACCTGTGAAAAGGTATCCCATCCTGGTGGATAGCAAATAGAGCCCAGAAGGAAGACGGATGTGGCTTGTATTCGGTCGTACAAGTGACCACAGCTGGTCAGCTCCCAGAAGAATCTCTGGTTTTACGGGCTTTTTAGACTCATTGACATGTAGACCTTGTTGTTTGATAAACTGAATGTCTCTATCTTGGAGTTCGGGTGATGTGAATGCTTTTGTGAGGATGTCATGAGTGAGCAGGCTCAATAAGCATTGCTGACCTTCCTCATCCCAAGCTTTCAACATCACTTTTCGACAGTCCTTCGTAGATACTTGATTCGAACCCCAAAAGTGTGTAAGTGGAGTTTGGCCTTCCCCATCGTTGGGAGTTGCAATTCCTCAGCGAGTGCTCCATCTATGAATGAGATTTCTGCTCCTGTATCTAGTAGGACTGCAACCTTTCTCAAGGAGTTGCTCTTCGGATCGAGAACTGTTAACTCCCCTGTAGGAAGGAAAGTTTCTTCCAAAGGTTGAGGCATTGAATGAACTTGCAGTATGGCGGTCTCTCTAGTTTCCGCTTCCTCGGAGGTCACATGGTTCACTCGTTGAGGTCTTGCTCTTTTCGGTTCTTCTTTCAGTCGCTTCTTATTTGGACCTGCCTTTTCTGGCTGATTTGTAGCGTTATTGGTTAGCTTGAAGCAGCATGATGTGTGGTGTGCACCTTGACACTTAAAGCAGTTACGCTTTTTGCATTGTGAAGTTTGGTGTTGTGCTGACGCACAGATGAGACAAAGCCCGTGCTCTCTCAGGTATTTCGATCTTTCTTGTGGGTTTTTATACCTGTTGCAATCCATAGCTTTATGGTCTTCCCCACAATACATGCACCTGTTTGGCCGCATTGGGAGATCCTTTTTGACGAAGGGTGGTTTGATGCTCTGTTCTTTCCCGGTTCTTTCCAAATAGAGCATCACCATTTCTTCGTTTGAAATTGTTTCCTCCAAGAACTCCAACAGTTTGTTCATAGAAAATGAGTCTTCCGCCAGGGAAGTGTTTCTTTTCAGTAGCACTTTTCTCTGAACAGACGCTGGAAATTTGGAGAGAATTTTTCTGATGCACCACTGGCTATCCACTTGTTCTCCTTTGTGAGCTAGCTGGGCAATTACCACTTGCAGTTCTTCAAAGAGAGAACGTTGGTCCTTTATCGAAGGTGATTTCAGTGATGCTTTTTCAAGCTTATGAAGCAATCGTGCAATCAGTTCTTGCGTATTTCCATACTTGTGCTGGAGGAACTTGATTGCTTTCGAATAGTTCTCTGGTGTTACTTGAAACTTTTCGATTGCCTGGTAGGCCTCGCCGCGAAGTGCATTCTTTAGATAATTGAATTTGTAAAGGTCGGGGATCTGCTGCGAATGGACATTGGTGTTGAAGAGTTCCCAAAAGTTGTCCCATTCCCATATATTCCCTCGGAATATTGGAATGGGCAATGCTGGGAGCTCGCTTCCCAACCTTGGTTGTACCGGGGTAGTTCCTTCCGCAGCTTCCAGTGTCGTGTTACTTGCTTCCCCTGCACGAGACGTGCATACCGTGTATGCCTGTCTGCGTGACTGTAAGAGTACTAAGTAGTCAAATGCGGAGGCAAGAGTTTCTTCCGCCTTTGCGGAATACTCCTCGAAACTGGTTACTTCTTGTTCGTCCAAGTCTTGCAAGCTTGAGACATCTGTGGCATAGTCCATCAAGAGTTTTTCAATTTTCTCCGTAAACGCTGTTATTGCACCTATTCCTTCGTTGAGTTGTCGTAGGCTGTCCCTAAGTACTTCGCCTTCTTGTGAAGTTGCCGTGCGCGTTTCCAACCTTTCCTTCTTAAGATGTGTGATGACTGCTTCCAATTTCTTCGTGTAGCGTGTGAGTAAGCGCTTAGATGTACCTAGTCGCATCGCCATTTTCTTAATAACGGTTCAAAACTTGCAACCGAAAATTACAGTTTGGTTCAAAACTTGCAACCAAATTTGCTGACGTATCAGAAGAGTAGTCAAGTATGTCAGTACAGTGAAATCGTTAGACTGACCTGAGTTCGTCGTCTGCCCGATGCACCATGTAGAAAAGAGTTTTCTTTTTCTTCGCCTAGACTAGGACTTGTGCTTTACTTGCTCGTTGCCACGCGGGACTATAAGCTGTGGTTGGAAACGGGCTCACAAATAGGTTTATTGTTCAATTCTTTACATACAGCCTTCTTTCTTCCTGCTCACACTCCGAAGTTCTTCCTTCTTCGAAAGACTTGAGCTTGAACTTGATCTTGAGCTTGAGCTTGAGCTTGAGGTCCTTGAGGAACTTGAGGAAGCATGATCTTACGGCAGTGTGAGCTCTATTTATACAAATGAATATCAGATAAAAGTTGAATCTCAAAATATATTTCAAGCGAAAAGAAACATAGATGATATGATAAACGTTACAAAAGCAAAACAACGCATACTTGAGAAATGTACGATTTCAAAGAACAAAATTAATTCAAATACATGAACAAATACTTGATACATAGGTTGAACAATCGACAATCTATCTAAATTATATACATTGAGTATGGATCACTTGGTCGTCGTTGACGACAACGCGGGGTATTTGGCCCTGGTACCCTTTTCTTTGTTGTTCGAAGCAATTGCGACAATCTATACCTCTGGAATAGATTGGTGAGTGAGTCTAAGAGCATTTGCTACTCGATTCGCTCCAATGCCAAAGTGCGATTACAACGAAAATTCGACAAGTTGTTAGAAAGTAGACAATCATCCAAAATAGTAGCGTCCACCAACCTTTGTTTGTCAGACCACCAAAATGCTATTCATAATGACCACAATGAATTCATTCAATCACGAGTCACTATTGTTGGCGGTGCAACAATATCAAAGGATGCTTCATCCTTACTCAGTTTGGGGCCAAGCTTCTCACCCGTGCAATCATTCACACTTGTCCAATACGAACTGCGAGATTCAGTGAAAATGACGTCATAGAATCCTTTGACGTCACCTCTCTATTTACAAATGTCTCGAATTCCAATGCGTTAGAAGCCGTTTTCGAATTACTGTCCGAAAAGAGTAACAGTATCAATTTCTATGGCTTTAACATACAGCAAGTTATGGCATTGTTGAGAGAATGTTTAGAATGTTCGGTTTTCAAATGGGCGGGACAGTATTATAAACAAACTAGGGGACTCGCAATGGGCCAGCGTTTGGCACCTATTTTAGCAATAGCATTTATGCCAAAAATAGAAGAACCAATTCTCAACCGCCGACCTGTTCTTTACTACAGATACATTGATGATACTATCATCGTGTGTCCAACACAAGCGGAAATGGATCTATGCTTTGACATACTCAATGCTCAATCAACTGACATCAAATTCACAAGGGAAACGCCTAAGCAGGGATGGCTGCCATTCCTCAATGTCCAGATCCGCTTATGCAGAGGAGAGTACAGAACACGCTGGTATAGAAAACCAACCAATAAGAACATACTTGTACATTACTCCTCTGCACACCCAATTCAAATGAAACTTAGCATTATCAGAAACATGCTGCGAACGTCAAAAAGAGTGTCTTCAAATAGCACTATAGAATCCGCATCGACCAAACAGGCTATCCAAATTGCACACGCAAACGGTTACCCGCTGTCGAAAAACGAAAACACAAACGTTCGTCACAAGGATAATGCTACAGTTTTCAATGATGTCAGTTGCGAAAAGGTGTCATTCCTTATGCCATTCATATCGGATAAGTTAAGCGCTGCGATTAGAAACGCGTTCATAAAGCCGGCCTGCAAAATATGCTTAAAGTTGTCGAAGTCCCACCCCCAAACCTCAAGCAGCGCCTGGTGCGTAACAGAGGTTACGATCCAGCCTGTTTAAAAACAGACTGTAATATATGCAATTCCAACAAACCGGGAGATTGCATGTGTCCTGGCGCTGTGTACTTAATATCTTGAACTGTGTGGGGAAGAATATATTGGAGAAACAGGAAGACCGCTGTATGTACGAATTAACGAACATTTGGACGGAATGAGAAAATCGCGAGTGTCCACGCCTCTTGGCGCACGTCGTGTGCTTTGCCATCAGGACATAGAGTTTCAAATTAACGTTGCTATCCTTTCGAAAGCAACCGACATTGCAGCACGAAAGACCATAGAGGCTTGTTGGATCACGTCCAAATGTCCCAAACTGAACAGAAAGGAAGAGAAAATGGCTATCATTAGTGAGCTCATCCCATTCTTATCATTGTGTGGATTTGAGCCTGACCTTAAAGGGAACCTCATTCCATCACAAGAGTTAGCATATAGTGGTCTGACTGAGTGTCTGAGTGGTGGACAGCCACTTGAAGTGTATCGCTGAAGGTATGTCTACCCTTGGAGCGTCGAATTTGCTGACTCACTTTCCAGGTCTTGAAAAAGGCGACTCTGCCGAAACGTCGACCTGTTTACTGTATTGACGTTATATTGATAAACGGATAACAATCTTGGAACGCTTACTAACTTACTGAGAACTAATCTATATATCATATCAAAGCTCTTGATCTCTATTTTCAGGCTGACAACGTCGCAAGACTTCTTTTTATGACTCAAAAGAGAAATGTGGAAGAAACAGCCTTTTCGAAAACCTCTTGTTTTTTCTTCAGTTTAATTCTTTTCATTCGGTTTTTTTGTGTATTCGATGGGTTTTCTTTCTGTCTATGATGTAGACAACGTCGCCGAGCCTACTTCTTTGCTTATGCTTGTTTTTTGTAAAAATTACTGAAAATTGCGTTTTTCTTTACCTTGTTCTTTTTCAATGCTTTCGCAACGAATTTTCTCCAGCTCGAACTATACTTGCTCAGAATGATGAGCGGAAGAATCCAGACAACGTCACAGGATACAAAATGACTATGCGGGGGTGAAAATTCAAAAGACGCATCAAAAATCATATTGGCGTCGATGTGCAACATATCTTTTCTGACGCGTTTAACATGTTCAATTCAGTTGTTGACAAATTTTTCCTCTCTCGATCTCCCCACTATCATTACAGCCAAACAGCGCTTTTTGATTGGAAAAGAACGTTGTTCTTGTTGCCACCCAATTTAACTGGCAATCCTGAAAAGGAAACTGTACCTAGGAAACCACCACGTTAAGGTTCCAAATCTGGTGATGTGCTAACCTCTGCTTTATATAAATTTTTCAAGTTTCCTGGTTCAATTCATATCTCTAAGTTTTATCTATCTTTCTGAAACAACCTTCACTTTTTATAGGGGGCAGGAAGTCAGATAAGTATCACTTTCTAGGCTCTGTCTTTTGACTATCGAAGGTATGCTATACTGTGAACGGAGATGGTAGCATCTATACAACATGCAAGAAAGGGCAAAAGATCATTGGCACTACATATACCTCCTAGTCACCTTTGGCATTTGCAATAGTCTTTACTCGTGCCTAGATATTCTTATTGAACTAATTAGTTTCAACAATGAATAATTTCCAAATTTTAACACTACCGATCAAGTACCCTCCACTTCAACAACTTGAATACTTGAGCGGCAAAAAGAGTAAGTAACTCGTTTGATTAGCTGGCCCTTTACTTTTTGAGTATCGTTTTGAAACACTTTACACTGCGAACGTGACCTCAATGTGATTTCTAACGAACGCAGTTCCGTGTTTAGTTTTCGATGCATCTTTTCCTATCTGTCGCATTTTTCTCCTTTTTCTATTGTGTAAGTCTACAAATTCCAACGGCTCACTATCTGTTCCCGCAAATAAGTACTGCTTTCCTTCAGACATTGCTTCTATGTGAGGCTAGAGGTGGTGGAGGTGGAGGAGGAGGAGGTGGTGGTAGTGGTGGTGGTGGACATGGTGGAGGTGGAGGAGGACATGGAGGAGGTGGAGGAGGACATGGAGGAGGCGGCGGTGGACATGGAGGAGGTCACGGGGGTGGCGGCCATGGTGGCCACGGGGGAGGTGGTCGCGGGGGAGGTGGCCACGGTGGTGGTGGCCGCGGAGGTCATGGAGGAGGTCGCGGTGGCCACGGAGGCCGCGGAGGTGGTGGCCATTGGGGAGGAGGGTAAGTTCGTTTTTTGATTTTTTTCAGTTATAAATCGTCGTCGGTCAGAATCCTATTCTGTGAACATCAAATATACCGTTCATTCTTGTAAGCTTGTAGAGCATTCATAAACATAGAGGCACCAGACCGTCTGCAACACATGCTAGGTTAAAACGTTTTCTTAATTATAAGATTTTATCATTGAATCCACCAGTCAAAGAACTATGTCTGAATTTTAGGATAGCTCGCTGAAGCTGTGGCTTCTATGTTCGTTTGGGATAAGCTGATAACTCGAAAACAATCACAATATAGTGCAGACGTCACTTATGACTGCGCAGTTTGCTTTTTTGAGAGAAAACTAGTGCTTATGGTAACGATGTGTACCATGAGCCACACACATGGTTCAGTCCATTTAGAGCTGACCCCTTCATCTTCCGCAGTAGCTTTGGAGTAGGGGATCTGAAATTTTTAAACCCATTTTGAACTTCTTTAAATTGATTAGGCATGCTGATTCAAGTACAGTGCTCATTCAAGTACGCGTTTTTTTGTTATGCAAGAAGAAGCATAGGATTTCCGCCTCGCGTGCGACGCGGTCAGAAACATGTCGTCTAGATCGCAAGCATGCTACTCACAATTGGCTCACTTTCTCAGAACGTGGAAATAATCTTAAGCTCTCAATCAGCATTTGGTTCTAAATGTTCCATGTGAACACTCAAAGGTCTGGAGTTCAAAGTATCAACCTTATTGTTGATTACTCTTTCTTGAAACTTTTTCGTTACTGGCGCAAACATTCTGTCTGTTTCTAATGGTGATTTGTTTGGCGAACTGACAACTGCACTTTGACTTTCACGCAGGTGTAACCATGCGTTTATTGATGATACGGCATGAAATAAAGTACCTCACATTTCTGAAGATACCCTTAGACCATTTTCATATCTGCAGGGGCAGTTCTGGCGATGGAGGAGGAAACGACGACGACGACGATGACGATGGAGGTCGTGATATTTGTTTTTGCCATCGGACATACCTCGCGCAATTTTGATCGCCCTGCTTGACGAATTGCCAGATGTCTCGGAACCCAATATTTGTAGAATTCAAATGCTTGAATTAGTGATTTTTTGTGAGTCGGAATGAAGAATATGCAACTGCTTGCTATGAGTTATAAAGGTTTGGAGCATCGCGATTGCACGAGGTATTATTGATAGTAGGGCCTTATAAAAGTAGGCTTATTATCGGAACGAATGTATTTTCAGGTAGCTCCAGCGGAGGCGGTCATGGCCTGCTTGGTTTACTTGGTTTATTAGGTTCGCTAGTCTGATCTAAATTTCTTTTTTTCAAGTTTTCAGTTTTTAGATTACTTCTGACAGTGTAAACGAAAGCGAAAGCTTGCGCATATTTTTGTATTTTGAAGCAAGCATTTTTTGCTCTGTAAGGCGATTTATACGATTTCGTCTGTAATTCACTGTTTCACGGAAGTAACAAGAAATCTTCATTTTCACTCCAAGTAAAGCTCAAAAAATTATCTTAACAAGAATCTTGGATGACACGCCATGACGGAGAGTGGAAATGTATCCACTTTCAACAAACGGTCATTTCATACTCTGAGTCATTGCTTAAGGAGGTGGAAGAGCCTGCTACAATGCATAAATATATTCCAAATGAGTCTTCACTTTAACGAAGAATTATAAAAGGATAAAAATGCTGGGAACGTATGGATAGCCTTTTGATATGTGTGTATATAGCCCGATAATATGTCTGTAGACGTCAAATCTCCGGACTCTGATTTTTTTAGGATTGAACGGAATGACAGGAATGGCTGGCTATCCTTATAATTCGTATCAGTACCCATACTACCAGTATCCGCAATGCTGTAAGATATACAACAAAGGTTCCAATTTTTTAAACAGCCTTTTCGTTTCTCTTATTGCAGCTGCGACGCTATCGTATTATGCTACGAGCGGAATTCCGGTTTACCTATGCAATTGTCCAGGATATGGATACTCGTACCAATACTGGAGATGTGTACCCATGGTCAGTAATATCTATGGCCGATAGTGGACGATGTTAATAGTTCTGTCAGAACTACCTTATCAATTTTGTGCTGACTGTATTCTACACAGTATTCCAATTGCTTCGTGTAGCGATCGTATTACTTTCACATTCCTTTATGAAGATAGTGTTGATGAAATGATCCCATTGTCTACGTTCATGCAGCGAGATTTTTCTTCACTCAGCGAACGCAATTGTGAGATTGCAGGCGAGAAAGTGCGTGTAAAAAAAGAACTATGTGTGCAATGACAGAGTTTTCTTGTAAAAGTCGTCAACATCGGTGGTGTAGAGATTTCACAAACGTGAATTATAGCTTGCATGACCTATGTATGCTTCAATATCACTGCTGTATCGCTTTTAATGATGTCCCAGTTTACATGCAACAAGCTTTATTGTAGGCATTGAATAAAGATTACTTGTTACTGTATATATTCTACATTTATCCATTCATTCATTTGATGCGCTCATGTTACGCCAAGGGGACAGAAAACGCGAAACTAGACAATCACACGATACATTTGGAAGCCGATATACTCAGATAACCGCCGGGGGCAGGCGGCCATGCGAATTTTGAGCAAGCGCGCACCGGAAAAATAGTTCGTTGATTTTTTGCGGCCCGCTTGCAGAAATTTGGAAGAAAGTTGGCGAAATTGAGGACGAATGCTTGAAGAACAGTCGCGGTTTCTTTATGGATTAGCTGCGGCGCAGTGGCCGCATTCTCGCGGACTTTCCGCGAGAATATGCAAAATTATTGAGGGCCGCACGGTCCATTTTGAAGGACCGCGCAGTCCCCAGGTACTTTCCACTGAGGGAAAGTACCCCAAACTTGAGTAATTAAACCATCAATGGCATCTCTGCCACATAGAGCCTCAACCTTGCTTGACATATGCCCGAAACTGCTTAAAAAGAGTCCGAGCGCTTGCTGAAAGTTTGGCCAGCGCTCACTGAAAGAAATTATTTGCCAAGCGCTTGCAAAAAATGCTGTATTACGGCCCGCTGGCAGAATGTGCGACGGTAAAGGAAGTGCCGCCCGCTGAAGGTTTGGCCGCACCCCAAAATTCTGCTGGCCGCCTGCAGAAAAGCGCGAGTTTGCGGACCGCCTGTCCCCGGTGATTATCTGAGTAGGGCGCTGCTGATCGCGAGAGAAAGTCCTCGAACAGTCGCCGGCAGGCGGTCCTCGAACTCGCGCTTTCCGCAAGCGGTCGGCAAAATTTTGGGGCGTGGGCAAACCTTCAGCGAGCGGTACTTTCGTTTTCTGCCAGCAGGCAGCAATACAAAATTTCCTGCAAGCGCACATCAAATAATCGCCTTCAGCGAGCGCTGGCCAAACTTTCAGCAGGCGCTCGGACTCTTTCTAAGCAGTTTCGGGCGTACACCGAGCAAAGGTAAGACTCTACAATTTTCCGGTGCCCCTTGTCCAAAAATCGCATGGCCCCTGTCCCCGGCGATTATCTGAGTCGGTGAGTTTGCGGTCAATGCACACGCAGAATGCCACAAGGCCTCAACAGTCAACAAGTCCCCTACTTTTCAAAAGCGTTTCAAGTATAGGGGCCTGCAGGATCGCGAGAGTCGGACGTGCTTGAGGCCATTGCGCTGCGCACGTTAGATGCGCGTCCGATGACTCAGATAGGTGCCAGGCTTATCCTGTTCAACAGATTCATTCGGTTCACCACCTTTTCTGTCGGACAGTGTAGTGATTTGACCTATGAACCAAACGAATCGGTTGAAACGGATAAGTCTGGCACCTGCCTTAGTGACATCAGGGCCGGTAGTAATCTACCTTAGTGGCCGGTAGTAATCTACCCTGGCATCATGCCGGCAAGTTGGCACACATCGCGGAAAGGTGCCAGTTCCGCCGGCAGCTCGCGGAGTGATTGTAGGTTCTAATAATCTTATCTAATTTTAGCACGCAATCAATTCGCACTTCAAATTTTGATGACGTAGACAGCCGCAAAATTGCTACCTCGCGCGCGGTCGAACCTATAGTAAGTTTCGACCCGCTTTAGGCGGAAATTGGATTGGCGGGAGTCCGCCTCGCAATAGCTCGCGCCGTTTCGCAGCTACAGTATATCCTATCGTGCTGAGAACCCATGTCTGCGTCTCTTCAATCTCCTCAGTCTTTGCTTGGCAAAATGCCAGCGCTATGCGCTCGCAAAGCCTCCACCGATGCGCATGCGCTGCTCCAGTAGAATGTCTCGCCTAATCCGGGATGAAACCGACTATATGTGCATTAACTTGAAGTGGCACCACGTTAACCATCCGACCATTCGGTCAGCCGTTGCCGTTTGCACCAGCAATAGGAGGAACGCGCTGGTAAATGGCTGCCTGTAAGAGGGATCGATACATTACGTGAGAGACTTTGACCTGAAGGAACAGCTGATTGGTATGAGCGAGAGAGGGGCGAAATCGGTGCAAACGAGATTTATAAGGGATTGCCAAAAAAGATGATGTTCTTTATGATTCTAAGGCATTACTGGATTTTTTCTCCGTAAGAAAATTGTCATTTTAAAAAAGAAAACTCATATAATGAGAAAAATGATAGTTTTTTAATGAAAAGTAGAATTTTTGATTTTTTCGCCTGACGTAAATTGTGTGATATCGCCGCAATTCGCAAACTCGCAGACGCCGTCGGCAAAGGTGCCACCACCTCGACGTGGTAGGGGCACGTCGAGATGCCGGCAGCTCCCTCTCTCAAAAAAGCGCGCTATTTCCCGTGCTCTCTGACCTGCCGGCAGCTGCCATCGCGGATTTCGACGAGCTGCCATGCCGGCAACTTACATCGCGAAGTTGCAGGCAGCTTCTTCTGCGCTTCCAGATATTTTCTCACAGGAGGATTTCTAGAACCGCAGATTTCTATCTACAGAGTCTAGGCGGCATCTTTATCGAGAAATTTTTTTGGAAATAGGCCTGGGACCGCCTAAATTTGAAGTTTCACTTTTTGGCCACCTCACGGAAAAGGTGGCAGCGACCTGCCAACGAGACCTGCCGCCAGATCGGGGGGATTACTACCGGCCCAGACGTGCGCGGCGCAATGGCCGTACGCACGTCCGACTCTCGCGATCCTGCAGGCCCCTATACCTGGAAGCTAACATCTGATAGCAAAGAAGCGTTTGTAAGATGAAAGATAACTGAGAAAGAGTAATGCAGTGCAGTTGCCGCATACTCACCGACTCTCGAGATCACGCAGAGTCCTACACTTAGTGACAATAATTTGACGGCAGCCAGAACAAATATTAGAGGTAAGAGTAAGAATTACATAGGGTCACGTACTCAACATTGGCGGTTGCGCAGAACTTTAACACCGCTTCAGAAGTAAGGGATTTGTTTTGCCGAGTACCCAAAAATTTGATGATCTCGTCACCGATACGGTCAGAAGGAATTGTAGGCAACGAATTCCATGAAAGGATTCAGCGTTAGAACGAGAAACCACAGGAATAAAACGAAGGGGTGATAAGCTGGAGTAACAGCCACCGACGCGGTCAACAAATTTGACGGGCAGGATATCACTGATTTAGTTTAAAGAAACGGTGTTCACAAGCTTCAAAGTGATAAATATTCACGGATGTAAGCTTCTTTGAGCGTTGTTGAGCTCGATTGCTGACATAACTGTGAGATAACGGAAATAGCGGTTTTTAGATTAATCGTATCAATGTGAGCGAAGCGACAATGTGAACGACATCTTTCACGGTACGCTTACAAAAGAAACTGATGTTTCTTCCAAGAAACGATAGAGGGGGGGGGGGAGTAAGCCCTCCCTATCCGCGAGTAGACTGTTCAAAGTAGTTCGTGGACCGAGTGCATGATGGTAACCTACAGGGTGTCCCATATAGCTGTACATATTTTGATTGCTAATAACTCTCTTGCCATGAAGTTTTTCAAGAAGCTTTAACATTTTATAGAACTGGCTTCAATTTAGGTTTACTTATGGAGCGAATCACCAGTAGCTCTTCATTACTTAAGATTACGGTGAGAACTTTTGGGAAATGGCGCCGCAGCTAAAAATCTGCCATTTTGGATATTTTCGAAAAAAATTCTGAAAATTTGTGTTATAGGTTTTTCATGGACTCCGAGTTAAATACTGATGTTGTACAAGATTGTGAAGCTTTTTGGACAGTGTAACCACATTTTTTAGCAACATCGAAAAACGGCTGCTACTGCTTATTTGGCAAAGTTTTTTTGAGGAAGCATTACATTGTAATGAGATGCAAATTTTTGTATTCGGAATCGGTGCTTCATCTGCTGTGAGAGTTTCCAAATCGTTTTGTTTCCTTCCTGAGCCAAAATATGACTCTCCATGGCTCAACCCCCCCTCAAATTCCTACCGTAATTTTACAGTAATGAAGAGCTGTCGGCAAATCGCTCCATACTGCAGCTCTAAGTTGGCGCCAGCCCTACAAAGCGGTGATTGAAGTTTCTCGAAAGACATCATGACGAGAGACCTATTAACAGTCAAACAGTCAGATCTTTTTGGGACACCCTGTATGAAATGCGAAAAGGAAATTTTATAGGCTATGGAGTCCTGAAAACAAGGAAACAGAAACTCTGAACAAAAGTTGTGAGAAATTGCGCGGTGCGTACAAACCGTTTTACTTCTGGGGTAGTAGAGGGCGTTTATACCAAAAGCAACGGCAATAACTCCTCCTTTTAACGATAATTGAGAAGATCAAATTTTTGCAAAGCTGCGGAGGAAAACAACATGCTAAAAACAGTGTATAAAGGGGACGTGAGAAAACCAACGTCTCTATAATAGCCGAAATACTACAACCATAGTGTAGTTCTTTGCTGGTGCGACTCGAAATGCATGCCCATGCTTCTATACGGCTGACGCTTGTTTTTACATACTGCATAAGTCACATTAAGATCGGTTCATATATAAGAACACCCTACATTTTGCCGTTTCCCGGGCTTTTTTGAAAAAAAAAATGCACAAAACCATTGGTAACACGTGCAAGAGCTAGCCGAAACAATTTACACAGCATAAAAATGAGATGCGACGTCAATCTAGG